AGATTGAGAGCGAAGTGCTCTGTTAGGATGCAGAGTGTCTGTTAGCTGCCATCCAAGCTGGGTCCATCCTGAACTTCAAATGTGCCAAATGGGTTTGACAGCTGAAGAAGAGTGGAGACCCTACAGCAGTCGGACCCGGACGGATTCTGCAGACTGGTTCTGGTTCCTATCAGAGGAAAACATGTAACTCTCACCTATTTCCAGGTGGACGTCGGGGTAGAGCTCCTTCAGCCTGTCGGCCACGCTGTCCGTCTGGATGCGGGCCAGCTGCAACAGAACAGAACCATGATGTGGCGGCTTCAGATACTTCACAGCTAACAGAACATCAGTCCGGTCTGAGGGACGCGGCGAGGAGCGAGGAGCGTACCTGGCTCTTACGGGTTCCGATCCGGATGACCCGGCTGACTCTACCGTTCCCATCCTACAAGGGCACAAACACAGCGGGTCAAACAAACAGCCAGAAGCGTCTCACAGGTGTCCTAACCCACCCCCCCTCTGACCCAGATCACGATCCATCACCCTCACCCTGGTGTACTTGTACGGCCCGTCCTCCATTGCTCAGTACCTGCTGCGTTTCTGAGCAGAGCGCCGCGCTGACTGAACTATATCATCTCCCGACTCACTGACCTCCCCCCCCTCCCCATCAACGGATCCCTGCTCCTGAAAGATAAGTGTCACAGTTAGTGAAGCCGTTAGGGATGGGCAGCTGGGGGAGGGAGGGTGTGGTCTGAACCGCAGTCAGGCGTCACGGACAAAGAGAAGATCTCCTTCTTCCTTAGAGGAAACGCGTCAGAAACTCAGACCTTCCTGCTCCACAGTCAACACTATAAATAACTAAGAGTCATCCATTAGCAGAAACGTCTCTGAACTTCCTGGGTCTGAACCGGGGGGGGGGATTTCAAATGTTTGTCACCAAAAACTCAAAAATAGCTCAAAGAGTAAAAGACACTAAAGACATTTCTGAGGAAATTGACATTAATCCACAATATTATTCATATCCGTCCTTCAGAGGATCATTGGACTCATTCTCCTCCATCTGTTCTCCTTCACACTGGAAAAATTATCTAGAAATTAATAAAAACGTCTTAAATTAAGTGTATTTACCCTTAATTTGAGTAGGTACATGAGATAGCTTGCCAATGAAATTAGTATTTTTAGTCTTAAAAAAAGATAATTAGATAATATGCACTTCAAATAAGACAATGCAATTGTGCTTTCTAATTTTAAGTGTAAATTGTCTTGTTCCATTGGCAAAATGTCTCTTTTACCTCCTTAATCCAAGAACAAATGCACTTATTTTAAGAAAAAAAACTTATTTAGATTTCGATTTTTCCCAGCTTTCATAGGACAAGTTACTGTTTCTGATCACTTTACAAACGGAAATTTATATCCAGCCAATCAGCTAAGATCCTGCTAAATGGCTCTACGTGTTATTTTGGTATTTGACCAATTAAATGAGCCCTTGAATGATATATTATCTGTTGTAAATTAAGCTGAAAAATAGGTAACAATTTAAGGGGAAAAAAAGTAAAAAGCTAAATCAAAAAGTAAAAAAAGTAAGAAATGTGATCTCCTGTATTACCGTAGCTTTAAAGCTCTAAGGTTATGCTGTAAAAAATAAACAGTTTCTTTTTATGGATTTCTTATAGAAGCATGTGTCATTTTTTGTTAATATATGACGTAAAGTGGCTGTTTCTTCACATTGACCTTAATCTTTGCCATCAAAATATCCATGTTATCCAATAACACTCTTGGCTTGAAATTTTCCTTTTCACAGTATTTGACTGAGCGCCCTATAAAGGGTTAAAATAGGAACAAACTGTGTTTTTATTCAGTTCCTCTCTGAAACGTCACAGCCTGCTTAGCTGCACCACTAAACTTCCTCGGTTCAGTTCACATCCATCCAACCAATCCCCCAAAATGTGCTGCCCACTTATTAGGGTCAATACAGCTTTTTCTGGCCCATCTACATGAAGATATGAGCAAAATATGAATGATATCGGCGCACATCATCCAATCCACCAATAATCCAACGTTGACTAATGATCTTAATCTGATACTGGATGAATGACATCATTCCAGTCATTTCCATCCAGTCATTTCTATTTTTATTAATATCACACATTTACAGTCACAGCGGTTTACAGCGAGTTTCAGCTGCTGATATTTTAAATTTATCAGTTTAAATGAAGGTGATATTTCTTTCTTTGCTGCTATTTTCTCTTTTACTTCTTAGTAAATAATATAAAGCACATTTATCCACGTTTATGTCCACGATGGCTTCTCTCACATGTTGAGGTATGCGGTTGAGTCGTTTTGGATCCGTAAATCAGGTTTGGCCCCAGATATCGGTATCTGATCAGTGCATCGTTCCTGTTTCAGTGACTCAGGGTGTTGCCTTCACCATCAGCAGGTCATATGCAGCAGTTCATTTCTGGCACAAGCAGCAAAAATGAAGCAGCAGATGCGAT